TTCAACACTACCTTAGTGAAATTATTTGAATGAATGCACTAGACTAGGAACTGACTTGTGAGTAACATATAAAATAATTAGAAGTCTTTGAAAGACGTTCATAAGCGTGAAAGCACAGAAGGGAAGGATGATTACACTGAAGGAACTTGCTGTCCAGTCCTCACTCAGACTCAGTCTGTGAAAACAGGAAAGGGCATAAAAGGCAGTACTAATACTTCAGATTAATCTCAAATATTAACTGAATTCTGAACACATTTTGCTTTTCATATAATTTTGTCCCTTGAAATTTTTGAGTGAAAAAGATCAAATCAATTATTTTTTAGAAATTACTTTCATTTCCCAAATGCACTGTGCACTGCTTTCTTTGCAATATTCTTTAAACACAGCATTCCACGTTATGTACCCATATCACTTCACCAAACAAGTAGTTTATCCTCTTTGGTCTTCCAGTCTCTTAAAAATCAAATAAGTTTTGGTTCTAAGAGTTATCTTAAACATTACATTTTTTTCTTTAAAACAACATGTTTTTATTATGAGACATTACAGAACAGTAAGTGCATCCTCCTCGTCCTCTCCTTTTTATTTCTTTCATTTATGCATTCTTCATTTTAATTTTTTCTCCACAAATAATTATTGGGGCCCTTAGTATCCACAACTGGATAAAATATTAACTAACAGTAGTAAAGAGTTGCAGCCACAAGTAGAAACATCATTTCTAGGGGTGAAATGCGCAGATGGTGAGCACACATGGATGTTGTTGATATTCCATCTAAAGATGGAATTCCAGATAAAGTTGAGCAGCAGTGAATAAAAAAGACAACAGATTCATTAATTATTCTTGTGCTGATCCATAAATTCCAAAGGCTAAATGGTTCATGGTGTGCTTATCCCTGAGCTTTGGCATTATAATTTGGGGCCGTGTCCTTAGCTACACATTCCATTTCTGCCTCCCTCACTAGCCAGTAAGTACCTTGAACAAACAGATCCAATACGTACTGTTGTCTTGATTGCCACTCTCTTCTACAAGAGCTTTGTGCATGGTAGACGACATGTGTATGTCAAATTGTTAAGTTTATTCAAATTATCATTTATCCCTAATATAAGTGCTTCCATATGAAAATGTGGATTTGGAGGGACTCCCTGCTGCTTTATATGTATAATGATTACTTTGTG